AGCTGGTACCACTGTACCGCTCCTGGCTCCTTTAATATCCAACTCCTCCTGGATCTTAATGGGAACGCCGATGCACTTGGCATTTTGACCAGGAAAGTGTTTATCACTGCAGAGGTTTCCGGTCTTCTTTTATTATAAAGAGCCCTAGAAATCGATACGACAAGGAGATTTCTGTCTTTAAGAGCAGCAAAACAAGGCAAGTTCCCATGTGCTCGCAGCCAGAGTCTGTTTGCAGCGGGGTGGAGGTAGGGCAGGATGTTCCCCAGCACAGAGACAGAGCTGGTTTTCAGGAGCTGGTCACGCTGAGGATTTTTCCTGGAGCTTTTATGAAGGAAACTTGTGAAATGCCTTCAAGGGGAATGTGACTTCTCGTTCCGGATTGGCACAGGGGGCCTTTCCCATGCAGCCCACTTGCTCAGAGGGAATGACACATACTGCTCCATGACTTGTAAGCCAAAGAGAATCTGGGTTGGGGTGGGGGTTTTTTTCCTTACTTGTTATTACTGGGGTTTCTGATTGGTTTGGGTTTTTTTTCCTTCTAACCTATGTGTTCACCATTTGGGATTTCATTGACGGCACTGTGTTTCCAAGCACACTTCAGCAAATAATCTCTAGGTTTTTGCAGCAGTCAGGTGGGGGCAGCTGGGCTGAGAGGTGCCTGGCTGCCTCCCAGCCCGGGTGGGAAGAAGTCAGAGAGGGGGCGACCTGCAGAGATCTGGAGACAGCTTAGTGAGTTGCCAGAAGTTGTTCTGAATAGGGCTCAGCTTTGCTCTTAAGCTACAGCTCAAGGTATGTTCAGCCCTTGCTTTCAGAGGCAGAAGGATAGGCATTGAGAAAAGTATTTATAATATTAATTTGCTTTGGTCTCTGCTCTCAGACGTCTCAGCCAGGGTGGCCTTCCCATCCCATGCGGGCAGAGAGAGGTCCAGTTCCTCCAAACACCCCCAGTCTGCATCCAGTGCTGTGGTACTGGGGTGGACGGCCGCTACCTTCCAGTCTGGGGTGGGAAGCAAAGGAGAAATCCTCTGGGTGCAATGGACTGCAGGACAGCAAGACACTAACGAGCAGCCAGGAGAGACTTTCTGCCCTGTTGCTCAGCAGACTGGAATGGAGCCAGTGCACCCTCCAGAATACTTCAGGGTTCTTTTTGTGGGCTTTTTTTGCTCTATTCCCACCCCTCCTTCTATTTTCAGCCAGACTCCTTGTGCTGAAAATAGATGTCTAGTTAGCTTAGGAGAAGCCTGTTGGAGTGGTGGCTCAAGTCCCCACTCTGTGGCAGACTGGTCCTGTCCCCAGGCCTGGGGGAGGCAGCATCTCTCTAGAAGTCACTGTAAAACTGCGGATGTCATGCTTGCTTTGCCATCTCTGTGCTGAGTTTTCAGAGTATCTGACCATGCTGCTGCCACCGCCGCTGCTTTGTCACACACCAACACCCACGGGGCTCGAAATTCTCCCTGGCTTCCATCTCTTCACTTCTGTCCTTCTCACTGGGGGCACTGCCCGGGGCTTCTCAGCATGCTGCTGCCCTTGCCTGTCCGCTGCCATTCGTAGCGGAATCGGCTGGCACGCAGCATGGGAAGCCTTTGGAAAAACGTGATCCAATGCAGATGAGCAAAGCACGGAGCGCTTTTCCACCTTGATTTGTAGCGTAGCTGTATGAGATGATAGGACAGGAAGGATCCCTGCTCTTCCCCGAGCTCCAGCTTCCAGCTGCCCCTCTGAGCGGGATGGGCAAACCACACTTTGGACTGCAAACCAAGTCTGCCTTTGCTGCTCAGCCCTGTTCATGGCTGAGATGTGCCTCCAGTCTGACCAGTCTGATGCAGCGGGGCCCTCCCACTACCAGTACATCTTGGAGAAGATCGAGTCTGTTCCCTGGCAGTTCTGTCTGCCTTGGTACAAGCACAACTAAGTGTTGGTGAGAATTGCAAGGGCAGCAGGTGAACCAGGGTCACGAGGCATCGGTCTCCCCAGCAAATTGTTTCACAGCCCCCAGACTGAGAAGGGGCAAGAGGATTTTTTTGCCTCTCCATCGCCAAAGGTAATGACAGACCCAGCAGAGGCTGCGGCGGGGACGGTACAGCCCTCCCCGCAGGTGGAAAAGGGAGGGGGAGGGCAGAGCAGTGCTGGCTGCCTGCGGGCTCTGCTCGAGATGGAACATCATCCATCAGCCCCGAGCGGGAGGAGGAGCCGGTGCTTGGCATTTCCATACCTGGTCGCACTCTTGGAGCGGTGAAGGTTAGACCGCTGCGTCCGTGAGCTCACCGAGAAGCTCACAGAGCCAGCGTTGTGCAAAGGACAATTCCTGAAAAGCCTCCCCTGCTTCCCCCCATCTGCATTCCCTTCCCCTGCCCCACATCACCATGGTTGGCTGGATCCCTGCCCCTTCCCTTCTTTTGTGTTGGAGTTTGTTTATGATCATTGCGGGCGCTGTAACATTTGCTGCGTAGGTTCCTCTGGCAGCGTTTGCTCATTTTAAGTCCACTATTGGAATCGCTCACACGCATCTGCTCTTCGGATTTTCCTTTTTGTTTTGCTCTGATTTACACATTGAAAATGGGGCCATCACGGGAACACTCTCATTTTACTGGTTTTTTTTATTTCCTTGATTTTTATTTTTTACTTCCAAGGACACAATTTCGAGCCCTGAATTCTTCTCTTCTAACCTCCCTACTTTCATTGCAGATCTTACATTGTAATTTTTTTTCTTTTCTTGTTTCCTCTTTCTTATAAAAATGTGCAACAGTTGTGAATTTTAGGTATTATTAAATGAGATTCTTTTCCTGCTGTCTTGTCTTTTAGGTATGCTCAGCCACCCACCAATTCCCGTTTCCGAGCTGGCTGAACACACAGAGCATCTCAAAGCTAATGATAACCTGAAATTGTCCCAAGAGTATGAGGTATGAGCAAGAGTGAGTGCTGTGCATGGGTTTGCAGAGCCAGGGAATTAGGAAATTCAGGCAGGCCCTCATCCAATTAAACATAGCTTCATTTTAAGGATCTGGTTAGTTGAAACAAAAAAGCTGTTTAGGTATTTAAAATGAAGTATTTGCTCAGTGTTTCGCTAGGTTCAATTCCAGATCCTAGAAAAGGGAGGTTTGGTTCATGAGCCGTTCCTGTCCAGCGAGCGGGCATCTGGGACAGGGCTCCCTTCGTGATGGGGGATGTGTGATGGAAGACGACTGCCAGACAGATCGGATGGGTGCTGTCCTTGGGGGTGCTGTGTCTTGCTGCTGGCACATGGAGAGGACCGAGCCAAGGAATGGGCTACCTGCTTTTAGATAGCTGAAGTTAGGTGAGATGAGCAGTAAGTCCTCCACAGCTGACGTGACCAGCAGCCCCAGAGCTACAGCTGAGAAAATAGGATGATTTGTGCCTTTCTTGTCTTGTCTCAGGTTTTTGTGCTCTTTTTTTTTTTTTTTTTTTTCTCCTTCCTGCTAATGCTTGGTTACTCGAAGGGGCTCCTGCAGGCGACCAGCTGTGGCTGCGGGACTTGCATTTCCAATGGCTCTCCCCAACTGTAAAATCCCCACCTTGCCGGGACCGATGGGTCGGGGCAGTCCCAAGGCAGACTGAGGGGGAAGGCAAAGAGCACCACAGCCCCCCGGGTACCGCTACGGAGCACGGCCCCCTTGTTGCCAGTCGGGGAAGGGCTGTGCACAAACCTGCCCCTGCCCGCTCACGGGATCGTGGCTAAATCCCAGTGCGAACGCTTGGTGCTGCTGGGACCGGCGCTATGCGAGTTGCTTTTGTTGCAGATTGAACATACGACTCCCATTTTTTTGTTGTTGTTGTTCAAAGACATAAAATGCCCCAATATTTTGAGACTAATAACTAGTCTAGACTGCCTAATTCTGCTTGCAGGCAGGGAGCGAGGGGATGCTTTTGAACAACGGGCTGGTTTTGGGGTGCTTTCTCCCCAGCGTGGCTTGCAGATGTCGGTATGCGTGAAGCAGCTCCGGACTCGCAGCTCTGCACCCCCGGAGGAGGGGTTTGCACGTTGGAGAAGGCGTATTTGCTCTGCTGTGGTCTTTCACCCCACATCGGGGCGCGGGGAGGGGGGGGGGAGCAGCAGCCTGTTAATATGCTCTATCCAGATTTCAAAGGCTGCTTTGCATAATGCAATATCCCAAGCGCCCTGGCTTCGTTCCAGCACAACCTCCTCTAGTGGGAGAGCCAGAGCTAAACAAACATCGCTAATGAAATGAATGCAAGGCGAGATTAGAGGGATAGAGAGCAAACAGACACATTACAACAGTATAAATACCCATTAGTTAGAAATGCTCCGCAGCGAGAGTGCAAGAGGACGTTGGTGTCGGGTGGTTTTGTACCAGCGTTGCCACGACTACTGGAGCTGAGCTGTGCCTGGAGGGGGGGGCTCTGGGTCGGCACAGGCAGGCGAGGGCAGCGGGAGCGGGTGCTGGGCCAGCGCCCACCCCAGCGAGCTCCTGGGACCCTGTCCCCACCGGGCAGGAGTGGCAGGCGGGGAGAGCGAACAGCGGGAAACACAACTCGGCAGGCTCCTGCCAAGCCTCCAATTGAGGCAAACCCCTAGGGCTCTGCAAAATGATGAAGGAATTAAGCCCTTGTTTTATTTAATTCTCTGGCTGAGGATTTAGAGGTAAACGTAATTAACCTAATTTCCATATCTGGGACAGCTGGACTTTAGAAAAAAAAAACCTACCACCACCAAACCTGGCATAAATTACCAGGACAGGCAGAGAGGATTTTTCTCTCCAGTGCATTTCATTGCTCACTCCCTCATCCCTTCTAGGAAAAAGCCATGTTGATTCTGTTTTTTAGGGCCAGGGTCCCTACCCCTTCTCTGCCCAGGGAGATGCGCTCCTCCCACCCTGATGCCCCCCTGCCAGAGTCCCGTGGTGCTTTCTTGCCCCTTTGCACCTGGGAGACCCTCAGCACCGAGGTTTTGTGGTCCCAAGTCACGCCGTCTGCTCTTCACGGGGCAGCCCAGTCCCCTCCTGCGAGGTTTTTTCCCTGATGTTTCATGTCCTTCTTGCACGCCTGGTTACAAACCTTGTCCTAGCTTAAATATCCTCTTCTGCAGCTATTAGTACTCACCGAGACACTGGTATATTTATGCCCTCTTAATCGTTGTTTAGTTTAACCACGCACAGGTTTAGCCTCTTCATCATTTCATAAATACATCCTGATGGGATTGTTCCTGTTGTGCTCTCCCGCCTGCCGGCTCTTCATCAGTGTCGGTAACGCAGGGCTGTAACGCACCCAGCGCAGCCTTGGCACAAGTGGGATCCCAGGCCCCTGTATTGCAGCCCGACGTTGCACTGGTGCTTTTGCCACCGGGTTGCGCTGCGTCGTGCCGGAGGGGGAATTATCTCGGGTATCGCTCGGGGCCGAGGGAGCTGGGACGTGAGCACGCTGTGCCACCGGGCTGGGGCTTTCCCACAGCAAAGATCGATTCTTGAGGGAAGCAAGCGGTGAATGCTGCGTTCCTCAGCTAGATCTTCACATCCATGATCTGTCCCATGTGGAGCAAGGTGTTCAGAGCTTGATTTGCTGCTTTTCTCCTCTCTGACTCTTCCGTTTTCTTTCCCAATTCCTCCAGTCCATTGACCCTGGCCAGCAGTTCACCTGGGAGCACTCCAACCTCGAAGTGAACAAGCCCAAAAACCGTTACGCAAACGTGATTGCCTACGACCACTCGCGCGTCATCCTGCTGCCCATTGAAGGTACTGTAGCATCTCTACTCCTACTCGTTAGCGCTGGGCTGAAGTTGCTGCAGGGAAACAGATTGCACAGGCTCTTCTCCCTTCCCCGTTACCCTCTATTTATATTCTTAGCATCTCCCTGGGAGTTTAGCAAGCGGGAGATACCTCTGTAAACCACGCGTTTGTTAAATTCTGATGACTGACATATTCCCTGGAGCTGCAATCTCTCATTTCAAGGGCTGGTTTATCAAGAACCTGTCTTCCCTTGACTTGGAGATCCCTGCTCAATACGTTTCTGACGAACGGGAAGAATTCAGACCGCGTAGTGCTTCAGAGAGAGCGGGGACAGGGCAGTGGGTGGCAATGAACGTGGAGCGTATCTGTACAGCGGATGAATGAGAAGCGCGGGGCTAATTGTACAAATGTGAGTGTCAGCAACATAGCAGAGATGCGGCTGCTGAGTTGTACGGACGTAAAGATTGCTTGATATGCAGCTCTCGCTGCAGTCCTGGCCCCTAAAAGGCTAAGAATAAGGAAGGGTGAGCGTTAGCCTGGTAGGTCATAAATTGTTTCCTGAGCTGCTTTATGTGAGTGATGGCGCAGTCAGAACATTTACATTAAATTTCACAACTCGTGGCTCTTGACAGAGTTGCTCCGGTGCACGCTAGGATAGGAGGGGCTGTTGGTGGAGAGGAGATGGAGTTTAACAGGGCATCTGCTTTGGTTGCTGCTGCCGAGATAATGTTCGAGTTCATCATCCCTGGTTGCGTGTGGCTGTGCTGTACAGATAAAGGATTTAAGGCCAGCCTCGCCTTGCCAAGAGCTGGTCGTCTGAGCAGAGAGGCTATGGGATGGCCTAATAACCCCCCGTGAATGTAAAGGTTAATTCGGAAGCCTTTGTGACAAGGGAATTGCCAGAATAATCTCCTTCTGCTGAGGTAACTGAGGGATGCGGAGAAGTGGAAGAGCTCCTGGGGTAACAACAGATCATGGTGATTTGCCAAAAAGCTGCACAAACCTGGATTGGTCTTGTCTGCCATTAGAGGGTTTTCATCATTTCTCATTGTGAAGATGACTGTGTTCTGGCTTGGTTTTCATCCGAGATTAATATTGCATGAGCCAAGGAAAGCAAAGTCCTTTAAAAGTTGCCTTGTCATTCGAGGGAAAAGAGAGCACCACAAGGGTAGGAACAAAGGACGCTGTGGGCTGGTCTCGGCGCTTAGGAAAGCAGAAGCACGGGGCTGGACGCGGGCAGCAGTCCTAACCCTGCCCAGGTGGCATCGTGAGGGACCAACGGTGCAAGTAGGATGGGCCAAGGTTTAATTTTCCAGCTTCTGAGAGGTTCTGACATGTCTTGGCTGGTGTGTTCCTTCCTACTAGGCTGCCTTTTATGCTGAGGGCTGGAAGATGAAAGGAGTTGGAGGAATTAGTTGTTGCTTTCTCTTTGTTTTGAATCTGGATTTGTCAAGGCTGCAGATTGTCACTCTCTGCTTGGTCAGGAAGAAGTAGTGGCTTTAATTCCGTGACTTCTCTGTAACTGGCCCTGTCACACAGCGAAACATTGCAGGAGCTCATGGCCACCATTTTAAATTACAGAGTGGACCGGAGGGGGCTGGAGAGGAGATTAATTCGGGAAGCTCAGCCTTGATCACGTTCCTGCTGCTGCTGCACAGCCGCCTTCCCTCCTGAAATTTCAGATTGGGAAGGAATGGGGGCAGGGAACCCTCCAGAAATTTAATCAAAAGCCATTTCTACCAGCAGCTGAAATTACCAAGTACCCTTGAGGACTGGCAGGCAATTCAGCGTGGATTGCACCTCGCCAACGGAAGCAGCAATGTCTATTGCTACGGCAGGATGAGGACTAGCAACCCAATTTCATATTGGTGCTGCTCCCCACCCTTGGCTCCCCCTCGAGACAGGAGTTAAGCGTTCTGTACCGAGTTAATCATAGGTTAGCAGAGACCTGCCAGCCTCGCCAGCCGCTCTGCCGTAATTAGGAATGGGCCAAATTGCCAAACAGTGCGGATCCTCTGTGCCAATCCGAGAGGCTCTAAAGCTGAACCTGAGCATCAGTGCTTGCCAGTGTCCATTTTAACTTCAGAGCAGCTTTCCCCTGCCATGTCCCAATCACCCTCTTCACTCGGCCCCCCCCCCCTGCCACTCACATCAAACCCCTCAAGCAAGGACATGGGTGAGCAGCTGTAACTCAATAGCCTGTAACTCATGCGAATAGAAAAAAACCCCACTCCTAAAAATGACAGCGGACAATTTAAAGCAAGTCAAAGCCTGTAATTTCAAAGCCTTTACTGGCTGAATCAAGCCTAGTTTTATTCCTTGCTTTGTCCAGCTGTAGCTCACTGCCTGGGATTAGTGCATCAACCAGGTGCGTTTGCTGCCCAGATTCTGGGCGTTCTGGGACAAGGACTTGGGTTTGTCCTATTTGAGACCAGTGAATCAAGAGCACTAGGCTGGGGCTTCTGCTCCTATTGGCAACACCAGTAAGACCACCATGGTTTCAAGGCTTAGTATTTGGTCTCTGGAATACCTTTTGCAAGAAGTTATTTGCCTCCCTGCAATGCAGACCTTAGAGGCAGGAGCTTTAGCTGCGAAGAACTTGCAAAGAGCCCGTTCCTCCCAGCTGTGGTTCTAACCCCCCAAGCCATGAGGGCCCTAGTGGATTCGCAGGGGAGTTACCTCTAACAACGTTCTGGCAAAGATCTCCTCATACTTTCAACTAGGTAAAGTCCTGCGCCATCCACTAACTTGCTCTTGCTGATGTAAAACAGGAATCGTGGGCAGCGATTACATCAATGCCAACTACATCGATGGCTACCGGAAGCAGAATGCCTACATTGCCACGCAGGGGCCTCTGCCGGAGACCTTTGGAGACTTCTGGAGGATGGTGTGGGAGCAGCGTTCAGCTACTATTGTTATGATGACTAAGCTGGAGGAGAAATCACGGGTAAGATGCACGAGAGGGATGACTGGTTAGTCATAATCCTGGGGGATTGGAGGGTAGTGTTGGGGAACAGCAAATCCCTTTGATCTGCAGCCCACACTTATGTCAGTGGGGGATTTCTGCCTGCTTCGCCAGCACCCTGAAAGTTCAGTGATTCATTGCTTTCTAAAAAAACAAACCATTCACCCAGGAAAGCTGCAGCCTCCTTTGCAACTCCAAGAGAAGAGGACACTCAATCCTGTTGCATGCTTTGTAGGTCTGTCTCGGAGTTAATCATGTGGCAAGTTTCACATTCAGTTCTCTTGTTTAACAAGCCCCAGTACATTCACTCTAATCTTCAGGATCATTCCAGTCTATTGTCTACATGATTGATGTGGTGCATCAAAGCCCATGCTTAGTCAGTAGGAGCTTTTCATGCCCGGTCTGTCCCTATCGTGGTGCTCTGGAAAGACATTTCTTGCACCTTCCCCCCCCCGGCCAGCTTCACCTGTAACAACATCAGGGCAGTTCTGGAATGAGCTTCTCCTGCAGCGTAGGGTTTGTTGCAGCATTGAGCAATGCCTCCTGTCTTCCAGATAAAGTGTGACCAGTACTGGCCGGGCCGAGGTACAGACACCTATGGAATGATTCAAGTGACGTTACTCGATACCATTGAATTGGCCACATTCTGCGTTCGAACGTTCTCCCTTCATAAGGTAAGCTTTCTCCCACTCTTGGCTTTCCCCCCGGCTATGGCACGCTCCCTGTACACAGCACAGGCAGGGCATGGCAGCGTCCTGGTACCTCACGTTACTCTCAGTGCTCTTTTGTCTTTGCAGAATGGCTCCAGTGAGAAACGGGAGGTCCGCCAGTTCCAGTTCACAGCGTGGCCTGACCACGGCGTGCCTGAGTACCCCACCCCGTTCCTGGCTTTTCTGAGACGGGTGAAAACCTGCAACCCCCCTGATGCTGGTCCCATTGTGGTGCACTGCAGGTATGGATTTCCTTCTCCTAACTCCTGTGTGGGGCCATCTGCAAGAGAGGCAGAAGTTCAGAAAGGCATTGATTTGCACCTCTGAGAAGTGCACAGTCCCCTTAGTGAGTACCCAGCAGGCGAGAGCTGTACTGTAAAGTGGATTCCCTGCCAGCATCTGAGGAGGGTACTTGGGTTTCCATTGAGTGCAGAATTTCCTGAGATGATGAGTGGTTCAGTTTGCACCAAATCACTCAGACCTCGTTAGCAATGGGAAGCACCCTGTGCCATCCTGGTGTCTGGTTCTGTGTGTAGGGGTTGTTTCTTCAATCATAGAATCATCGAATGGTTTGGGTGGGAAGGGACCCCTAGAGGCCACCCAGCCCAACCCCCCTGCAGGAGCAGGGACACCTTGAACCACATCAGGTTGCTCACAGCCCCGGACAACCTGGCCTGGAATGTTCCCAGGGATGGGGCCTCCACCACCTCTCTGGGCAACCCCCAACTCTCCCAGCCTGGCCTCAGAGCAGAGGGGCTCCAGCCCTCGGAGCATTTTAGTAGCCCTCCTCTGGCCCCGCTCCAACAGGTCCATGTCCTTCTGGTGCTGAGGGCTCCAGAGCTGGACGCAGGGCTCCAGGGGAGGTCTCCCCAGAGCAGAGGGGCAGGATCCCCTCCCTCGCCGCTGGCCATGCTTCTTGTCCCAGCAGGAAAGGAAGAAGGGGGAGCGTGACCTAGGAAGCTGCTTGGTGCTGCTGCATCGGGTGTTTGCGAGGCAGAGTTGCCTCAGCTGTCTGAGGGAGAGCTGACAGTGATGGAAAGAAGGGGGTTTTGGAGTGCCGCAGCCATTCTGGTACTGACAAACTGAAGGCCCCCATGGGCAGGCAGCGTTCCTTAATTCAATTTACAACCCAGTGAGGAACGTTTGCAGCCTCAACTTAGATAAATCCCTGTGTTCCTCAGGAGGGTGTGGAGGAGCCTGCAGGTCCCTCTACACTGAGGGAAGACATCTGAATGTTACAGCTGCTGGGGGAAGCTAATCCTGCCTCTCCTAGAGGATGCCATTTAAACAGTCTTTGTAAGTGGGCAACTTATCACTAACCTTGCAGACGGCAATTATCGTGCACCTCTCAGAAAATGAATAAAGAGAGCTGTCAGCTCACAACGTGCGGGAACCAGCTCCCAGATCAGCTGCTAAATTCGTGCCAAAGCTCCAGTCACCTGCTTGGTTCAGGTGTTAGGCAGTCTAATTAAAAGAGATCAAGGGGGCTTTATGAAAAAAGGGACTGCACTGGAATAGTAAAAGGAAACCCTTTATTAGCAGTGGCAAACGCATAGACCCACAGACCCCTACTGATTCACAAATGCCATTACGCACCAGTTTGGTGTTACCTTGATACATAAAAACACTTAGGAAAAGAGGCGACACGTGTTACTCATTACAACATCAGTAGTTTCTCAGCTGCTGAAAGATCTGAGTGATTAACCGTGCTTTATAAGCCTGTAGATCGTGCCAGCCTTTTGTTCAAGCCTAGAGCCCCCTCAGTAGAATTGTCGTCATTGCGTGTCTGCCGGGAGAGCTCTTGGCCTGGGGATGTTGGAGATGAAGAGGCAAGAGAAACGAGGCAGATCAGCAGGGAGGGGCAAGAGGCACAATCACCAGAGGCAACTTTTCATCTTCTGCCCTGTCCTCGGGCGACACAAAACCCAACTTGGTTGTGGAAGTTCTTGCTAAACTGAGCTGAGACTCAAAGCAAACCTCTGCCTGTTGCAAACTCTTTGGGTCTAAGCTGGGGTACTTCTGCGTACAGCTGGGCACAGGAGATGAGGGGACCCTTCCGTCCGCTGGCCCTGACCCAGGAGCCTCTCCCTGCCCTTGCGGCAGCACTGGCCCAGGTGGGACTCGGCTTTTTAGGTTTTTACCAGCCCCAGGGCAGCACTGTGCACCAGTGACTCGGAGCAGCAGTGACTTTGGTGTCACCACTGTCCTCTGCACGCTGCAGAACTGTCCCAAACCCTCCAACACAGTCAGGAGCAAGGCACTGAGGTGAACGGGCAGGAGCACTCGCCAGCACCGCTTCCGTTAGGCAAGTTCCTTTAATACAACAAAATTGATGGAAGTGCTGGACCCACACATCTGGCTCGGTTGCCAAGATTTCCATTGCCTCAGTCCATCACAAGCCGTGTTCACAAGGCCTTGGTTCCTTCCACGGGGTGCATTCGTTGTTCCCTCTCTGCCTTGTGTTTCTACCCTGTGTTTCCTGCTGTCCATGGCAGTGGAAGCGTCCTCCCTCGCAGGTGGCCATTTGGAAGAGCTTTCTTCTGTGGTAGAGTAGTCCAACGCTTCATTTTTTTCCCCTTTTCTTTCCAGTGCGGGTGTTGGACGGACTGGCTGCTTCATTGTGATCGACGCCATGCTAGAGAGGATAAAACATGAGAAGACAGTGGACATTTATGGGCACGTCACCCTCATGAGGTCACAGCGCAACTACATGGTACAGACAGAAGACCAGTACAGCTTTATCCACGATGCCTTGCTTGAGGCTGTTGCTTGTGGCAACACAGAGGTCCCAGCCAGGAATCTCTACACCTACATCCAGAAACTGGCACAGATTGAAGTCGGAGAGCACGTGACAGGCATGGAGCTGGAGTTCAAGGTAATGGTAGATGCCTGAACAGGGACGGTACTCACCAGGGAAGCCTCTGTATTCCTCGCAGGAGCTTTGTTCTGCTGGCACTCACACATTGCAGACAGGGAGCCTTTATAAGGCTAATGGGAACTTTTTGGTTCGATGTTAGAGAAGTAATTACTTTTCTGACTTATGCTACTTCAGTTCCCTAGGGAGCCCTACCTGCTGCTGCAGGAGGCTCGGCCGGTCATCGCAAATCCAGATTGAATTTGCTCACTCTTTATGGGTTTTTAAGCTTTTTTTAATTTGAAAGTATTGCTGGGGGAAAGGTCTCAGACTCTGTCCCCACGCCAAAAAAAAAAAAAAAAAAGAGGGCACACAGGGGGGAACATGGAGGGCAATTTAAATGGGCTGGCACAGGGCTCAAGGAAAAAAAAAAAAAAAAAGCTGAACAAATGGTTGTGATTCTGCTTTTGCCTTCAGCGCCTCGCCAACTCCAAAGCCCACACCTCCAGGTTCATCAGTGCCAACCTCCCATGCAACAAATTCAAGAATCGTCTTGTCAACATCATGCCATATGAGACCACGCGGGTCTGCCTTCAGCCCATCAGAGGAGTGGAAGGGTCAGACTACATCAATGCCAGCTTTATCGATGGCTACAGGTAAGCAGCACCTCGCTGCCCGCCGCCGTCGGGGCCTTTTCTGTGCGTGTCTGAGGGTGCAGAAGCACCAAGGGCTGGGCTAAGTCTCAACACGGGTGGGCTGCTGTTCCATCCCCTCACCTAGCTATGCCGCACGCAGTGGTGCAATGCTGGAGGGAAAGTCCCTCTTCTGATGGCCAGCAACCCATGCGGAGACTCAAATACAGATTCCTGATAAGCTTTATTCTCTGTGGTCTTAAAATTACTTCTCCCCTAAAGCAAACCAAAACCTTCTCCGGCTGCAGGTCCTAAACATAGAGTGTCAGTGAGGGGGTGGATTTTGCCATTGGGAGGTTTCTAAAAACAGATTAGCTTTTTTATTACTCTTGTGATTTGGGGATGTTGCAATTCTGACAGCTTCCCACAGGCAATGCATGCCTTGTTCTCCAGCCCTGGGAGCTGCTGTGCTCCACTGGTGTGCTCAGAGCCTGGCCAGCTACAGCTGAGCCCCAACTGAGGGAACAAAGCCACCCCATGTGCACGTTTCCTCACCTCCAGGTGCACCCAGCAGTCCTGGTCCTGGCTGTGGCACCGGCGTTAGGGCATCTCCGTGCCTGGCAGTTGAATTCTTGGTGGTATTCAGGCCCAGAAAACACGGATTCTGGTTCCAAGAAGCTGGCATGCAGCATGTTACACCTTCTTCCAAACAGGGCATCGTGCTAGAGTGATCTGGGTTTACCCCTTGGAAAGGGTGTTTAGAGAAAGCTTCACAGTTTGCTTTTTTCCTTTTTTTTTTCAGCCATTAGCACCAAAATCACCTCCTGCCCCTTTAGTCCTTGCTCTCTTCTAGTTCTTCCCCAGCATTTCCACTTGTTCTCCTACTCGTCAGCCTTTGTATTGATTTCCCAAAGGTTCTGCCCAAGCAGTGCTCCACACCCCCTTGACCCACCCCATGGGTTTGTGCTCTGTTTCAGACAACAGAAGGCGTACATTGCTACTCAAGGGCCGCTGGCAGAGACCACTGAAGATTTCTGGCGGATGCTATGGGAGAACAACTCCACCATCGTCGTGATGTTGACTAAGCTTCGCGAGATGGGTCGGGTAAGCGCGCACCAAGGACAGGCACGGGGGGAGCCTGCAGCACAGGGGGCTGACAGAGACCTTTCTTTCCCCTGGCAGGAAAAGTGCCATCAGTACTGGCCCGCGGAGCGCTCTGCCCGGTACCAGTACTTTGTAGTAGATCCCATGGCTGAATACAACATGCCTCAGTACATCCTGCGGGAATTCAAGGTCACCGATGCCAGGGTAAGCGCTGCACGATGGTGCAGTCAGTGCTTGAGTGGGTTATAGCTGGGGCTGGGCTGGAGTGGTTCAAACCCATGCACTACAGAGGCTTACTTTTAAAAAAAAAAGGGGGGGAGGGGTGGAGTTTGGTGTGGTTTGGTCTCTGTAAGAAAGACTGAGGTGTAAACACCTTCTCTGTGAAAGTCTGGAGTTATCATCAGTGAGGAGAGCTTAGCTGTGGTGAGGAACAGAACACACAAACACAGATTGTACTTGAATATATTTTCTTACAACTCAGAAGTCGTTTTCTAACCTCTGCTCGCTTACCATGGTAGTGAGGCACTTTGGTAGAGATGGACCAAGCTTTGGGTTTTACTTGGAGCTTATTTGGGATGAAAGTAGAACGTAGTATCTGCCCAAAGAGCTAACAAAAAAACAGACTTGCAAAGGCTACGTGGCACCCTGCAGATACGCGCTTCTCCTCTGGCATTAAGAGGGATCGCCCTTTCATATTCAAAGGGGCACATTCACTCCAGTAATCTTAGCTTCAGTGTTGGATTTCCCCTCCAAAGGAAGGTTTCAGGACCTTCTGAAATTTGTTTAGCAAATGTAACCCTCACTCTCATAGTGGAATCATCGGCTTTAGAGGTTGCTCTTGCTGTAGAACCTGATCATTCTATTTGCAAGGTTGGGAAGGAGGATGCCTCATCAGTCCTGGTAGAACAAGATTTATCTTCCTGTCAGCTGTAATTCTGACACTACGGCAACTCTTCGTCAAGATTGATGGAGAGGCCATAACCTCACCTTGAATGTTCCTTTACTGAAGACTCCATCTGTGCAGTCTTTGCAGTGGTCAGAGCTCTCAGCCCCCCTGCCAGGAGCGTAGATCTGTACTGACAAGCTGACTCCGGAAGTGTCAGCGGCAACATGAGCAGCTGCATCATTTTTTTTATATATATATATATGTGTATATGTATATCTAAAAAATATATATGTACATTTAATTATAACACAAAGTTGGCTCAACTTTTTGTGCCCCTTAATGAATTCGCAACAAAATGGAGGAGTGTTTTGCCTGTTGTATTTAGTACCACAAGTCCGGGATGTTTCAAATATTCCTGTTTTCTCCCCCAGGACGGTCAGTCACGAACCGTTCGGCAGTTCCAGTTCACTGACTGGCCAGAACAAGGCGTGCCAAAATCAGGAGAAGGTTTTATCGATTTCATTGGACAGGTACATAAGACCAAGGAACAGTTTGGCCAGGATGGCCCCATCTCTGTCCACTGCAGGTAGGCACGTGCGAATGGAAACACCCAATTCATCTGAGGATGCAAAAAGAGCAGAAGAAATTAAAATCCTGCAGATACCTCCCTCCTTTCCCACCCCATCTTTGCAGGCAGATTTCTTGGGGGTGTCTGGATAATTCTGACACTACGGCAACTCTTCGTCAAGATTGATGGAGAGGCCATAACCTCACCTTGAATGTTCCTTTACTGAAGACTCCATCTGTGCAGTCTTTGCAGTGGTCAGAGCTCTCAGCCCCCCTGCCAGGAGCGTAGATCTGTACTGACAAGCTGACTCCGGAAGTGTCAGCGGCAACATGAGCAGCTGCATCATTTTTTTTATATATATATATATGTGTATATGTATATCTAAAAAATATATATGTACATTTAATTATAACACAAAGTTGGCTCAACTTTTTGTGCCCCTTAATGAATTCGCAACAAAATGGAGGAGTGTTTTGCCTGTTGTATTTAGTACCACAAGTCCGGGATGTTTCAAATATTCCTGTTTTCTCCCCCAGGACGGTCAGTCACGAACCGTTCGGCAGTTCCAGTTCACTGACTGGCCAGAACAAGGCGTGCCAAAATCAGGAGAAGGTTTTATCGATTTCATTGGACAGGTACATAAGACCAAGGAACAGTTTGGCCAGGATGGCCCCATCTCTGTCCACTGCAGGTAGGCACGTGCGAATGGAAACACCCAATTCATCTGAGGATGCAAAAAGAGCAGAAGAAATTAAAATCCTGCAGATACCTCCCTCCTTTCCCACCCCATCTTTGCAGGCAGATTTCTTGGGGGTGTCTGGACGGGGGGGGATGCCAAACACTGTTGCTTCTACCACCCAACTTCATCCCCCTTCAGACCACAAAGCCTTTGACTCCTCGTATCTGGGGAAGAGCTCTGAAAATGCTGATACTCCAAAGGAAATAGGAACCACGATGTAGAATTAGAAGTGGTTTTATACCAGTTCTCACCTCTAACACTGCTGATAGCAAATGTTTGCTGATAGCAAGAATTGTACCTCCCCACCCCTGGGCAGCAGAGGATAATGCGTTCTTCACATTATTTCATTTTAAAAGCCTCATGTCACATATTAGCAATAATTTCCACACTGAATGCTGTTTACTATTGCCCAAAGCTTTTGATTTTTTTAGTGTCCATCTCTCAAACATTTGCTTGGGTCACGCACTCTGGCAGTTCTGCCATTTCCTACCTCCTCGAGGACTGGCTGAGTCTCTCCAGTTCTCACATGTTCGTAAGGACGCGGCCATTCGCTTAACCATAACTTCAGCATTTCGGCAAGGAAAGCATTTGAACGTTATAACATACAGGTTTTTTGGTTTTGTTTTTTTTCCCCCCCCCCTCCCATTCCTGCAGTGCTGGCGTGGGCAGGACTGGAGTGTTCATCACATTGAGTATCGTCCTGGAAAGAATGCGTTATGAGGGCGTTGTAGATATTTTCCAGACAGTAAAGATGCTGCGAACACAACGACCTGCTATGGTGCAAACAGAGGTAAGGAAGGGGGAGTGGGGAAGCCACCCCTGCCATGGTTCAGAGCATTCAAGGCCAGGTTGGACGGGGCTCTGAGCAACCTGATCTAGTTAGCAGTGTCCCTGCTCCCTGCAGGGGGGTTGGACTCGATCCCCCCCAGCCACCCCTGGCCGAGCGGAGCTTTTTGCCTTTCCAACCACCAGCAAAACCTTACCTGAAGAGTGAGCAAGCCCAGGCTGTGCTGCTGGTTTTACTCAGCAGTGTGGGAGGCTTGGGGGTTTTTAAGTAGTTCTAAAGTCTCTTAAAGACTTCACCTGATCCTTACCTCAGAGGTAAAGGAGCCGCCTGCCTCTGAACACAGCCCACGCTGGCTGTGGAGCCAGAAGGGTTAATGGTGGGATGACTGGTATCTGTGAGATGCACAAACAATAAAGGGAAGGGATTTCCTTTCCCAGTAGTTTGGAGCTCTTTGAGAATAAAAGAGCCTGCGCGTGATTCCTGCCGGAGCAAGTGCAAGCTGGAAAGCAGGGCAGGGATCCTGAAGAGCGGATACAAACCCCGAAACCTCTGAAGCTGGTTCTCTTTACTGTTGGCAGGATGAATACCAGTTCTGTTACCAGGCAGCTCTGGAGTATCTGGGAAGTTTTGATCACTATGCAACATAAAAAGCCATCCGTTGTGCAGACTCTACCAACCACTTAAGTCCTGGAAGGCCTCTTTTGACCCAGGAGGAGCGCTTGAACTTACAAAACTGAATCAGAAGAAGTACCTTTTCATCTGGACAATGCATTGGGGAGCAGGGGGAAGGAGCGAAAGGAACACCCCTTCAGGAACTCCATGTTGTAACCTGGACCGTGAAGAGGCAGCTCAGGAGCTTGCGGAAGGACTGCTTTAAGTGGTGAACTGCTCTTGTTACCTCAAGTGGTGTTCGCTGTGGAGGACGTATGGACATCCTGAAACAGATCCAAAAGCTAAAACACACCTTGCGAAACGTTGCCGCTGGAGAAGGGAAGGAAACCGACTTTGGTTACATCATTAGAGTTCAGTTTATTTACTAATATAGTTGGCAGTCTTTAAAGGAAGTCACTTGCAGCATTGAAGGTGTTCTGTAAAAGATAAGAACAGGAACTAAATCTCAACACTTAGGCAAACTTAGGGTCAGGAGTTCTTCTAGCTGGAGTCTTAATAACCTCAGTATCGAGATTGGGATGATTCTGGGCTTACAGGCACCTTACAGACAGCATTCACTGAATGCCCCTGCCACGCGAGAGGTTTTATAGCTCACGTTTTGAATACTTGGAACATTCCTCATTTCTTCTAATTCCAAAATTTATTTTTTAGGATATTTAAAACTATAGAGAAAGAGAGAGAGATAAAACCCAGACCTGGCTGTGTGGCGTGGCCCCCCCTCCCCTGGCACTCCGGTGGGACAGGTTGGAGGTGGCAGCTCCCCTGGGCTGGGTTCGCTGCCGGCTGGTTCTGGTCCCCTGTTCCAGCACATCCAGCTAACACAAAGGCATTAACGGGAGGAGTGGTGGGACACCCCGTCAAGAAAGGCAGCCCCTTTCCCATTTTCTTTGCACATTCACACAACCCCACTTCTGCTGCGAGCAGCTGTGCCGCCCCCCCACCCCACCAGCTCCTGCCGCCGCAGGCCAGGGGCGTCTCTCCGCACGGAGCCCGAGGAGCACCCGTAAGAAATTGATATCCAGTAGCCAACCAACCGCTGCGTGCTGCCAACACCCCGTCAAGAAAGGCAGCCCCTTTCCCATTTTCTTTGCACATTCACACAACCCCACTTCTGCTGCGAGCAGCTGTGCCGCCCCCCCACCCCACCAGCTCCTGCCGCCGCAGGCCAGGGGCGTCTCTCCGCACGGAGCCCGAGGAGCACCCATAAGAAATTGATATCCAGTAGCCAACCAACCGCTGCGTGCTGCCAGCCCCTCGCCTCTGAGCACGGCGGGTCTCCAGGAGCGCTGCAGAGACACTCAGGACTGTCCCGGTACCACGTCACACCCGGCCCACCGGCACAGCTCCGAACGAGCCCTAGCTGTATAACTGGGAAAGATCAAGTACGAGGCATTCAATGGCAGATACTGTGAGTGGCTTTCTTTAAAGTATTGATGTAACTGTAACAAGTGACATTACCTTTTTTTTTTTTTTAAATAGTGTATTTTTTCCTTTTTTTTAAAAAAAAAAAAAAGACAAAGAATATCAGTCAATGAATTTAAAAGAAAAATTTGCTTATTTGTTCATATTATGTTCAAAGACAGTCTATTTTTTCACTGTAGAAATGTTACGTGTAATGGCTGTGATATATAAAAATGCAGTGCAAATTGCTACTTCTACATATTGCTTTTCTACCATTTAAAAGTTTTAACTTGCTCATGTAAGAACAAAACGTCCTTTCTGGATTCTCTTTTTTTTTTTTTTTTTTTTTTTGGGTTCTTTTGTTTTAAATCGCAGACATATCACGTGGCTCCGGAAGGGCAGGAGCTCAGCAGGCAGGCCTGGCCGTGGTGGCAGTGCCAACCCCCTCCCCTTCAGCTGTGGTGCCCGCTCAGCAGGGCCAGGGCTGAACTGGGAGGTTGAGCAATACCAGTGTCTTATGACAACCGAAGGCGGAGGCTGAGTTGGGAGCCATGGCACATGTCAGCACCCACACAGGGTTTGGTTGGGGGGGGTTTTTTTTGGTTTTTTTTTAACCATCAAAGGTGTATCGTAGGTAAGAGCCCAAGGCTGTCCGTGCGCTGGGTTGTACATAGAATGCTTTTGCAAGTGCACATGCCGAGGGGTTTTCTTGCAGAGGTGCACAGAGGACAGCGTGGCTTGGAAAAGACGCCCTGCCCTGCACACTGCTTGCCTGTGACTTTTCCTTTTTTTTTTTTTTTTTTTTTATTTTTCTAGAAGGGGTAAATCATGGCCATCAAGTGCTATTCCCAACACCCCACAACAATCTATTTCCTGTCTTTAACTGAAAAAAGAAAAAAAAAAAAAAAAAGAAACAAATGAAAGGCTTCTTCGAGATTTTACTTCTTATTTGTGTGAAAGTTGCCCAAATTTCTAAGTATGTTGCAGCAAAATCTTACTGGATGAGTTGGGGGGGAGGGGGGAGGTTTTTTTCCTTTGTATGAGAGCAAAGTGCTGTTGCTTTCACACTGTTATTTCAAACTGAACCAGTAAGTGGTTTTCATACCACTGTGTATGTAGATATATTGACTTTGTATTAAAGGAAGATTGTCTGAACGGCCTGACTGCAACCCTGTTTGTTGGCAGGAGCGGGCAGGGAAGGGAGGGGTTGCTCTGCGTAGCGACTGCAGAAACCCTTCCGCTGGCGCCCAGGGCTGGGTACCAGGCTGCTCTCCCTCTGCTGTGCTTGTGCTCCTTCTAAAAATAGGGCACCTGCGCCAGCCAAAGGTGCCTGCAACGAAACGGCTCCTTGGGCGAGCTCTTGGCCAGATAGCTGCGGCGACACAGGCACGAGCTCGCTGCTGGTTCAGGCACGGCAGCCACCAGCAGGTCAAGGAAGGGGATCCTGCCCCTCTGCTCTGTGTTCAGCCTGGAGAAGAGGAGGCTGCGGGCAGAGCTGAGTGCGGCCGGTCAGGGCTTAAAGGGGGCCCAGAGGAAAGGGGGGGACAAGCTTTTTAGGAGGGCCAGCTGGGACAGGACAAGGGGGGATGGCTTTAAACTAAACCAGGGGAGGTTTAGACTGGATCTAAGGAAGAAATTCTTTCCAGTGAGGGTGGTGAAACCCTGGCAGGGGTTGCCCAGAGAGGTGGTGGAGGCCCCATTCCTGGGAACATTCAAGGCCAGGTTGGACAGGGCTGTGAGCAACCTGATGTGGTTCAAGGTGTCCCTGCTCCTGCAGGGGGGTTGGGCTGGGTGACCTCTGGGGGTCCCTTCCGACCCAAAACATGCTATGATTCTATGACTTGGGCACAAGTGTACCCAGGACCGTGGCTCAACCAAGAAGCCACAGGGGCATGGATTGTGCCTACCTTGAGGTTTAAAACCTTTGGTGCTCTCCATTTCTGCTGGCTTGTCTGAGTGTCCCTGATGTAGGACAGCGGCTTCAAAAGGAGCAGCGCCCATCCCCTTGCCTGCTCAGGTTGGAGTCCGGGTGGGAGGTGGCTGCCAGCACCCCTGGGCTAGGCCAGGCCCTGCCCTGGCTCCGGAGGAGGGCTCCAAGCCTGCAGGCAAGTAGTAAACATCTCTGTGAAGAACCACACCTACCTGGAGCAGAAGGCAGCAAATGCCAAAGGTCCCCTTTGCAGCTCACGGCCACAGCAGAGCTCCCGTGTCTGCGCCGAGCGGAATAGTCCAGGACAAGACGGGAGCTCACGGCTCCTCCGCTGCCTGGAAAAGCCCGCACTGCCATGACCACAGCGCAACGGGGGGGCAATGCTGAAAGCAGAAAACTTAGCGGCTTTCTCGATGCTGCTTAAAAAGCTTTGCCCAACTGAGCCAGAGCCTAATAATCTAAAGCACAGTCTTTAGTAGGTCTGTGGTAACAGTGGATGCTCTCACAGGTGGGCTCAGTCCAGTCTGAGCTTCCCACTTTGTCCCCAGTAAGACAGAAAGGAGCAGGGAAAGGCTGGCGAGGACATGGGGTTTGGGACGCAGCACCAGAGGATGACAGGACTGCTCCTCTCGGGTTTGTTTTCCCTCCCCTTTACAGGTGGGCTGTGCCAGCACAAACCATCTCACCTCACTAGGCTGGCACCACCACCAGCGTTGTGGCTCAAGCTTAAGGGCGGTGGGGGGTTAGGGGGGGGACACCACCAAAAAAAAGAAAAAGCAATTCACAAGTGAGCATAGACCTGTGCTCAAACATCAGGTGAGCTGTGAGCCCCGGGAATGCCATCACCTTCAAAATGCCATTATTCCTTGTGGTCGCTGGAGCAGGCAGGGATCAAACATCAACCAGCAACAACCTGGTGGCACAGGAAAAAAAAAAAGGATGAAAAAAAAAAAATTTAAAAATCTCCTGGTTTATAATTATGTCTCATGTACACAAGGGCCCCCAGGCACTCAGATGAATAGTGATGACTTTGGGCTCCTCATGATCTCCCAGCTTCATAATTTGTAGCCCTGAACTCGACAGACCAGCAGCGCAGCACAGGCACCGTCCATCGACCTCGCATCCATGTGGCGATTTTGCCAACCCCTTTCTTTATCATCGACAAATAGGAAAAACTGATTTTTCTTCTAAGCTCCGCTCC